CCTCTCCTTCTGCCACTCCCCTATTTGTGCGCACGCTCTCTGTCAAAGCAATGAATGAAATATTTAAAAAAAAACTGAAAATACAAACGCCATGCAGCCAGGCAGTGGCACTTTTAACGTGTGCCTTAGAGATGCGCAAGAATGTGTGCACAGGGGTGTGACCAAGGACGGTTGTTCAGGACTGTCATGCATGTCACCGCCTGGAAGTGGAAACCTCCTACGTGTCCCTCTGTATGGATGTGTACGGAAACGAATAATGTTCTGTGGGAGAAAGCAAATGAAGAAAGGTGTGCTTGTAATGTGCATTTAAAACGTCTACCACACACTTTCACGTGTCTGTGTGTACACGTGTGCGTGCAGTGGGCATGAAAACAAGACTCACGAGCAGACGTGACGCACGCACGGGAGTGACTCCTCTGGGAGGCGAACAGGACTCAGGCGCGTGAAAGGCCACATCGGTAATGCATACCCGAGCTTATTACACAAATGGCTGAGGTAAATGTGGAAAAAGTGTTAATATTTATTATTTGAGTGTTTAATAAAATTCCTTTTTGTATTTAAAAGTTGTTCAATTAATTGAACAAAGAAACTTGCCAGAGAAATACTCAATTAAGTACTTAATTGAGTCTTTTTACTCAATTTACTAATTAAGTATTTAATTTCTCAATTAAGAAGTACTTAACTGCCAAAGAAATACTCAGTTTTGGCCGAATGAAGAGCAGAAAGGCCTCAAGCCGGCGGCCCCCCAGACTGGGTTTCCCAGGGACAGAAGTGGTAAGAATGGGGCGAACAGGAAGCGAGTGACACGGAAAGACCCAACATGGCCAACCGTGCAAACCAACCCGTGCGCCGGCGTCTCCAGGTCGGAGAGGGCCCTACTGGCCAGAGTTGGCGCTCACGGGTAGGGGACTTCTGTCTCAAAATCAGAGCGCTACGGAAACAAAAAACCTTACAATACACTTATCTTTCTTTCTCTCTGCCCCCGGACGCAGAGGCCACATGGTGTCACCGTGGAGCTCCATTTTCCTTCTTATTCGACATCTTCTACCCTCAACACCAGCACTGATCTTTGCAGTTTCCTGCACCTGGTGACAAGGACAGGGAGAGCTCGGTGGCCTAGTGTGCCCCTGAAGTGTCAACCCTGCTCAGGCCCCACTGCTCCGCTGCTCATCACGGCATCTGGGCTCAAGCAACGCTCTCCCCTGCTGTCGGAAGTGCGAGCGAGGGCCACGCACGCAGCTCCTTGTCTGACGTCTGGGGCCCTGAGCAACAGGGGCCGGCGGTGCCTCTGAAGGGAGGGAGCAGTAAGGACAGAGGCCTGGGGACAGGGTGGGGCCTGGGGCGGCTCAATGCTCACGGCTGTTCTTTCTCTCAAGCAGGAGGGAGCGTTCAAACCGATTAAGGGACAGTGTGCAGCTTCTGGAAACACACACGCTCCACCCTTGAGACAGGCAGAAATTAGCTACGAAAGGGCTAGGCATGTATCAGACCACAATACTCTTCCTTTCTGGGATGAAAATTTAAAGAACAAAACAAAGCACTTCATGATTTTTACTCAGGACAATTTTGCTATAATATTCTGAATGCGTAAAATCATGCCTGATATTTAAATAAAATATATTAAAGCTCGTTCATAAAACTTATTTATTTGTTTATAGTGGTATAGCCTCCTCTTTAAAGCATATCTTAATGACTTTTTTTGCTTATATACTGCAAGTTAAAATGAAATGAGTGAATCAAAATCCTGCATTTAAGCTTGTTACATCACAAAATGAGAAAAAAGTTAGTAAACCTTCAGCATATCGCTGCGGACGAATGTTAACACACTTCAGCGATAACGTACGGAGGATTTATGTCTATTTCATAATTTAAATTAGCTGCTTAATGATGCATGGCTACTATCTTCTCTTTATCCACATCCCAGTGCAATTTAATTTCCGGCCAAATCAGAAGCGTGTTTTCCTGGGGAATGTATGTCCTCCAAACGGAGGCTTGGGGTGACAGGGAGTGCCGCACCTGACCCTGAAGCCTCAGCCTCAGTTTACAGGAAGCTCGGCACCAGCTGCACCAAGGCGCGCTCCCGGAAGCTGGGTGGAGAAGGGCAGGGTCTCCGGACGGCAGGACAGAGCAAGCATTACCACCCGGGCACGCCAGCTACTGCTGTGCTCACAGAGGAAAGGCTCGGGAGCAGCCCTGGCCGGCAAAGGACACACCCGCCGTCTGGGCTCTTACTGGATCTTAAACACCCGCGGTGAACGCAGAAGCAGCTGGTGGGCACGCAGTCATTCGGAACCTACCGTTCTCACAGACCTCAACAGGGACGGAAACCGGAGCCCTTGGGAAGCTGTGTGCTTTAGGGAACCTGGCAGTTGAATCTCCCGAGAGATGGGCCTGTGGAGCCAAAGCTGAGTACTGCCGGCTGCAGACGAGACACCTATCGACGCCACTGCCAGTCCCCACATCTGCATGGGGGCAGCCTCCTGACCCCGGAGCACAATCACGCCGTGGGGGCGGGCCTGGTGGCCGCGCTCTGCCTGCATTCAGGCGGGGTGGGAAGAAACATTTTTTTATGCTAAAGGAAAACATAGCTGTACCTCGTAAGTATGAGAATATCTCGTCCTTTTATTTATTTATTTTTAAAGATTTTATTTATTTGCCAGAGAGAGAGAGTGTGGGAGAGAGAGTGAGCGAGAGTACAAGCAGGGGGAATGGAGGTAGAGGGAGAAGCAGGCTCCCCTCTGAGCAGAGATCCTGATGTGGGACTCGATCCCAGGACCCTGAGATCATGACCTGAACCGAAGGCAGAGGCTCAATGGGCTGAACCACCCAGGCGTCCCCTATCCTGTCCTGTCTTGATTACCAACGTCACCAGGCATCATTTATCAAGCAGAAAAATACCCAAACGTCCCCTTGGCCACTGCCCTTAACTCCTCCCTGGGCACCTTTCCTTCAGAGCCATCAGAAGTGGCTAGAGACTGATCTCCTTCTGGGATGGAAGTTTGCTCGTCGCCTTCCAGACACGGGAGGGGGCTCAAACGGCCGGAAATGGTTCACCTGTGAGCTAGAGAAGTATCCCCCAAGCAACTAGGAGAAGGCCACAGCCTCCGAACACCGTGGTCTTCATCTCCATCGCACAGAATATGGAGCTCGCCACAGCCGGGCCCCACGGACAGAGCCCACCAGCCCTCGGCTTCCTGGGGCTGCCACATGGGAGGAGACGTGCTCAGAGACCCGGCTGGGCCCACAGCAGTCACAGTTCCTGCAGCGGAGGCGGCACGGATGGGCGGTGGGCCTGGGCAGCCCCTGACCCACTTCTTCCACCGGGGGCGACACCAGAAGCCTGGGCTGTCCTCAGGAACACTGCTCCCCCAGGCTCTCAGCTTCCATCGGGTCCCCACCCCGACCTGACAGGCCGCAGGCTGGGAAGAAGTTTTACAGGTTTGGAGGGGGGCCTGCGGTCTGCTCCCCTCTGAGTCCACTCGCCGCACTGCTTCATGTCCATCCTATCAAGCTCGTCAAGCCAACCGGTCTGATTTCTGCCCAGCTTTAGCTACTAAAACCCACCTTTTCCATTCACTTCTCTTCTACAAGGGGTAACTTCCCTTAGTCAGAAGGAAGAAACAGGACTGGCCACACTAGTGAGGCTAAAAGGAAGGAAAGCACCGTGCTAGAAACCCCCTTCAAGCCTGGGCAGACTCGGTCATCGGCCTGGCTCCTGTCCCCACCACGTGGGAGGAGAAAGCTTCCTCCTTCCCTGTGTCTCCCCCACCCCCCACCCCCAGAACCGGGATCCGAGTTTTAAGAGAAAACAGCGCAAGAGGAAGCTGAGAAACGTGTTTTACTTCTGTCTCATGCGTTCACCTACTACTCATGTTAACCAAGGGAGACGCTGATGTAAGTTCCCGACAACGCTATGACCATCACGATCTTCACTGTTAATCGGGCCTCTGTGCTCTCTGCGCTGTTACTCTATTTTCTCTCTGACTCAGATTCTGTCTCCTGACAACCAGAGCTTTCCTTTATCCCTCCACAGTTACACCCCACAGATGCTGGCCAGCAGATCTCACAGAGGACGGCAGTCATCTACAGTGTGTTCCCGACGAACTAAGAACAGAACACGACAAAAGCCGACGCTGCCGTCGCCACACCCTGCGTGTAAGACCTTGCCCAACTGCCACGAACGCCCGAGGAAGCATCGGCCCTGCTGTCCTGGTAAGGACGCCAGACACAGAGGCGCCGATCACTTGCCCAGGGCCCCACGCGACTAAGCAGAGAGCAGGATTACTAGGAAGCCAGACAGTGGAGCCCTGGCCTTCAGCCACCAAGGCACAAGTCCTCCCGAAACTGTCTTCCGCTTGACAGCCACACGGGACAGGTTTCGACAGATCTACAAAGTTCTCCATCAAGAACCACCTATTCTACCTCAAAGCTGCTCCTGCCCTGAAGGCTCTCTGTCCTCTGCGCGCTCCCTTCCCCAGTCCGAGTTTCTTGCCCTCGGACAACGACCCTGTGCTGCCGCCCAGCGTCTTCCAGATGATGGCTGGGGCCTGCTGCGGGGCTGCAACCAGGCGTTTGAGCACATTATCCACATCAAAGTCAGGATAGAGACCAGCAGACAATGGCATGAAGTATTGCTGCAAGAACGTTTGCTCTGTGTGTGTGTTTGCAGCAGGTCATGATGTAGATTACTGCTTACATGGAGGCACAGTCAGAAAGTCGGAACAAAAACCACCACCCAGGTCTAACACCGAGCCTTGCCGCTGTCCCTCAGCAGGTACCCGAGTAGGGCTGTCGGAGAGGGAAAGGCTGCGTAGTGGGGATGTCCGAGAAGCATGTCTAGAAACCTGAGTGAGGTCGTACCGTAAGTCAGGCTCACTGCTAGGCTACTCACTTGGTTTTCCTGACTGGATACGTTAGGGCAACGGAGGATGCTTACTCTGTGTGAAGCGAAGCAAAGTAAAACACATGTAAAGGCATAAGTATGAGCAGCACTGCCTTACCCCTTCGCCCCGGGTATACGTGAGGGTAGTACTCGTAATAGAGATCAGGCTGGTCTAGATTTCCAAAGGCCTCAAACTCCATCTCGGCATTCTGGAAAAGGCCCAGCTTCACCAGCAGTGCCAGCCTCACAAACCAAAGCTAAAACACAGAAGACAAGTGAAACAACAGGTTACCTATGACCGTCGGGTTCAGAAATTCCTACTCCCTACTAATCCTGTAGCAGAGCTTGATTCCCAGTATAACAAAGCCTGCGCTCCGCTTCTTAGCACATGTGCCTAATTACACGTTTATAAAAATTACTCTTGAGCTTAAGAAAAATGATGTAAATGATTTTGTCTGATTTGGCCTAACCTGCCAATCCTTGCTGAGAATGGAGTCCAGAGGGCGCGGGTGTGAGTGCGAGGGAGGGCTGGAACAGGAGTCGGGCAGGCGGGAGAGCAGGGCGGGCAGGGCTGGGCGTGGACGGCGCAGCATCGGGCGGGCGCTGTAGGGCAGGGAGTCGCCACAGCAGGAGGCAGAGGGGAAGCACGGAGAGGACAGGGCGATGTGGGTGAGCGGTCAGCTCTGAGGGCCCAGAGGGGCTCCGGGTCCAGAGGCAGAGTGGGGATCAGGAAAGGAAGACTAAACTCACGTTGATATTAAATTTGGGCTAAGAAAAAATCTACTTTTGTTCTCATGTTGTTCTTCGTGCCATGAAAGGTCACATCCCTTCCGTGTCCCCACTTTATGACCAACCAAAGGGGCTGTACCTGCAAGGAGTCTGCCGTGTGGCTGGTGGGCAGGCCACTCTTGCCGTAGCCTTGGCCGTGGGCGGTGAGAAGGCGCCCGCACAGGTCAACCGCTGCTCTCCAGTTCTTGCCGCTCTGTAAGACACAGCAGGAAGCGTCACCAAAAGCACAGCCACCCCCACACGCGGTGCCTGCCGCACCGGACCCAGCGCCAGCCACCCCGGGTGGTGACGGCGAGGCCACACCGCGGCTAGCACCGAGGACGCCACTTGCCAACGCTGTGCGGGTCGTCAGGCCGGAAGGGCGCCAAACCTGAGGTGCAGCGTGAGACGAGCAAATCCCAAGAACATTCAAGTTTAACAAATGACAGAACACAGGGCAGAGAACTGTTTTTTAAAATTTTATTTTATCTGAATTCAATTAATTGACATGTCATGTACCGTTAGTTTCAGAGGTAGAGGTCAGTGACTCGTCAGTCGCAGAGAACACCGGCGCTCACTCCACCAGCTCCTGTGGGAAAGCTCCCCCACCCCCATGACTGCTTTCCTCTGCAGCCAAATAACTTTATTTCGCAATTTTCATAATTTAAAATCAATAATTTAACTTTATGGTATATGCCAGATGTATTTCTTTGTATCTGTAGGAGCTGCGTGGGACAATAAAATAAGTGGTTTTGCAAGCTTGACATCATCCCATTTTACCATCATGAAAATGACGGGGACGCCGGCTGATCAAGCGGGACTTGCTCTGTTTATCCTCTGCCCTGATGCGACAGACAGGAGGGCCACCAGGCAAACACACGGCAAGATGTCCTCAGAGAGAATGCCGCAGCCTTCCAAGCAGGCAGAAGTGGAGGCCGGCTGCCCATCTCCTTAGCACACCGGGCGCTAACGCCTCTGCACGCCGCAGACGCCGCCGTTTGCGTGTGTGGCCGACACCTGGCAGGCCCCAGTAGGCCGTGGGGCCACGTGCACCCTGGCATGCATTCATCTCAGGATCTAGCAAGGAAGGCAGATAGGGCACTGGTTTTTTTCAAAGATGAGAGAAATAACTTTGGGTGCGCTCATGGTGCCTGCTGAACAAGAAGCCATGGGAACATGTTACCTGGGGGCCAGACTTAATGTCAGGGACGGAAAACTGCCGGAGCCCAGCCATGAAGGAGAACAGCGGGGTCAAGGGGCAGGACCCTCCCGGCCGAGGGGGAGCTGCCTGAGTGACGACTGCATGTGCGAGAGGGACGGCGATCGGTCAGGTGGCCGGCACACGGCAGTGACAGCGCAGGCCTGAGGACAAGAATGGGATGTCAGCAAGGCAGGCCTCAGGCCACGAGAGATCCAGACTCCTCCCGAGGGGCTGGGGAGCTGCGGAAGGGCTTTGGGCAAGGGAACGACACGGTCCTGTGTAACACACACAGAGCGCGCCGCCCACCTCTCAGGTACTAACCCCGCCGCCCACCTCTCCTGTTGGCACCGACACCCGCCAGAATCCTAGGTTGGGATGAGCACCCGGCGAGCATGGGTCCTGCCATGGAGGGGCCTGTTTTGAGTGGGGACCGACTCCCGGCCTCTCCTGACAGCAGCCCGCAGGCCCCACGAGGGGAATTCCCTGGGGCGCAGGCCAAGGTCGGTGCTTGGACTTCTGGGGAATCATCGTAGGTGTGGCTGGGTATATTCTAACTGCACATGTGGAAAAGCGAGAGGGAAAGTTATTCTGCCACATTTGAACCACTTCTATGTCTGTATCTAAGCAGATCTGTATCCAGGGGCAATTAATTATTGCTCGCTTCCCAACTGCCCATGCCACACAGGCTGGCCTTTCCTGCTGGGGGCGGTAGGTCTGAACAGAGTGCTCGGTGGTCTTCCCAGGAAATAACTCCAGCTGAGCATGGGCAAGAGACCCAGCAAGGAGGGCAGTGGGGAGCTCCGGTGGGCAAAGGCCTGGTGTCGTGGGCCGCGGGGAAGCAGTGAGGACGAGGGGCAGGGAAGGCCAGGCCGGCCTCTGCAGGATTCCAAGAGCATAGGCAACGTGTCCTACCCACATTCTGGAAACACCAGCCCCCGTCCCTGTGAGGAGGAAGCATGAATCCGATTTGATGTCGAATGCAGTAGTAACAGAAGATGGGCTTGTACTCGTACGTGTTTTTCACATTTTTAATTTAGACGAATCTTACGGAAGTTTCAGTCTGCTAAAGATGGGAGAGTTAAAGAAAACACCTGTCCTCTCCAGGCCAAGCTTGGAAAGTGTGGTGGCAGGTCACCCGTACCCGTGGTGATGGGGGGTGGTGCAGACATGGCAGAGGGACAAGGCCAGGTGACAGTCTGACGTGGGGAGCATGGGGAGTGAGGCTGCAGGATGGACCTGGGACTGTGACATGCAGCCAGATGGCGGTGGCGACGGGGCCAGTCTCGGAGGCAGGGAAGGCTGGAACGGATCAGAGCTCGGACTCTGAAATTTGATTCCAACAATGTGGAATGTGAGGGGCCTCTGAAACGTTCAAGAGGAAGAGAAAAGGCAGCAGCTGCTGTGTGTGTGGGTCTGAGGTCCGGGAGAGAGGCGTGCCTGGGGCAGCGTGCAGGGATCTGCGTGAAGAGGGTACGGGTGAGAAGGGAGTCAGGCCCTGAGGACTCTGCAACACAGGGTAGCTGGGGAGCGGGAGGCCGGAGCACGGGGGAAGGGCGTGCGGAGCAGGGAGGGCACAGCGCTCGGGGCTGCTGAGGAGGCAGACGCAGGGACACCAGGATCGCCCGGGAGCTGAGAGCTGGTCGGATGGGGAGATGGAACGGGGAGTCAGACGGAATGAAACAGGTGGAAAACGAGGAGGGGAACGGTGAGCCAGGTGACCCTGTGAAGTGTGAGTCGCCAAGCTAACGGTGGGGGGTGCGGTGGGGTAGGGAAGAGAACAGGTGCTTCCTCTGTGCCTCCTTGTAACCGAACGCTCCTGTGTGAGACAGCAAGAGAAGGACGCTCGCTGTTGGACAAAGACTGCACGTGAGGCAGAAAGGATAATCAAGAGCACGAGGTCCCAGGAGTCAGGGAAGGACTCTGGCACTGGGAGGGGGGTGACTGTCCAATGGCCTCCAGGTCTGCTCTAAGCTGGGGCGGGGGACCACTCCAACCCCAGCCAGGAGTGGGGGTGGCCGTGGGGGTTTGAAAGAAGCAGAGACAACCTAAAAAGGTGCGTGGAACCAGTGAAGTCTAGAAGGCAGGGTACATCTGCGACGCTGAAGGTCCCTGGGAAATGGGCAGTCATATTTAGCGTCACATGAGGCGGACTTGGGATGTGGGACTTCTCCAGCAGGCTCGGTGGCCCGGCCAGGCCATCTGCGCGGACCCAGCATCACCAGGTGAAGGTAAGGGGTAGGAGAGAAGACAAGCAGGCAGACCCCCTTTAGCTACTACTACCCATGTGACCTCAGTGACTTACTACCTGGTAACTCAACCGGGCCTCAGTCACGCCCTTGTGACGTCAGCTGGCCGCCCTGGAGGTGGAAATGAGGGCAGAGTTTGTGGGGAAGCTGGAACCGCTCTCACACCTGTCCCACCTGCTCATCCCTCTCTCCTCCAGCTACCGGTGGCAGACGGCCACCCTACATCCTGGCTCAGACTCGAGCTTCGCGACCCCTCTCTTGCCCCCGGTGAGCCCTCCTGCTAATTCCCCCGCACACACATTCCGGTGGGGCTACAGCCCCCAAGGGGATGGAATTTGGTTCTTGGCTAATAATTAACGGCCCTCCAAAGATGAACCCTACCCAACCAAATTGTATTCCTTAGTGTTCTCCTTCATTTGGGGCTGAGGGGGGAGGTGAACAATTAGGAAACAAAGTGGAAAAATGCTGTTCGGGGGACTGACAACGAGGAAAGGGTTAAGACTGTACTGCGGGGTACAGTCTGTCTCACCCATTCTGCACGGGAATCAAGGACAGCCTGCCGTTCTGCGTTAATGTTAACGGTCTTGTCTCCTTCTAGGTGAGCTCCGGGGCCCATGGCCTTGTTGAGCGTGTGCTTTTTAACTTCTAAAAGTACTTCCTCAGCATTATACCTACCATGTACATGTGCCCAAAAAATGGTGAAATAGTAAGTTCACAGAACTACAAAAATGTTGTTGAAAAACGGTACACTAATAATGAAAGAGAAGTAAATGATGACTTATTAGTGATTGATCTTTATTAGCTGGAAAAAAAAAAAAAAAAGGCAACAAATGCCATTGCTAGCCTAAGAAATGATAAAGAACAATTTCAGAGAAGATGCACGTCCGAGCTGACACGGGGACACGAAAGCAAGCACGTCTGCGCACTGCTGGTAAATGTTCATGGGAGGAAGCTTCGGGAACCCAGCGTGCACTAACAAGCCTCCCAACCGTCAGGCTCCAACCTAACCGCTCTCCCAGCACCCCTACTGAAGAAATAATCACATATGCAGAAGGGATTTCTCAACAAAGTGGCCCATCCCAAAGTTATTTACAACTGTATCAGATTACGTAGTAAATAACATTTGTAAGTCGGACACTTTAGTATCAGGCAACGCTTAAGATATGTTAAAAAGACACAAAATCATCAACAGCTGTGAGGTGAAGTTCGGTCTACTACACGTACACATCCGTACATACAAGTATCCGTAGTCACACGTAGACATACCGCACACACACAGAGACACTAAATGTTAACAGACGGTGGTCGCGCGAACAATTTTTCTGGACTAAGATGCTGTTCGTAAAAGGAGGGCAGAGGGCTTTGAACGAAAGGACAGGCTGCACCAGGGGCGACGAGCACTAGCAGACGAGAACGTCGTGTCGTGGCCACCTAGACATGGATGGTGTGTCCATCCACCTCCGCCCTACACGGAAGGGACGCACGCGCCCGCTGATGACCGGGGATAGTGCTTTACGCAGGAGCCAAATTAATGCTTGTTGAGATAAAACTCTTAAAAAACCCAGTGTGCAGGTATAGCTGGTGGCTGTGGCTGCTACGGCACGCGGAGAGGTTCTGTCTCGGGGGGCAGGACTGAGCGGCAGAAGGAGCTGCCTGACACAGCGCCGCCCCGGCAAGCTCGACGCCATCTGACAGCCCTCAAAGGCACTCGGAATCCGTGCGTGCGCAAAACCTATATAAATGAGGAAATCTGATCATGGGTATTTA